AAAAAAAAAAAAAATTAATTTAGGTTTTTTTTGATTTTTTTTTTTTTTTGGTGGTTACAAGGTCGGTCGAATTGACTGAGCCCATGTTGAGATAGGGTAGAGAAAATAACAGATAAACTATAAAGTTTTACTGGAAAAGAAAATGTTTGAAATGCATTTGAGAGAGTTAACAAATATATCTTGCTTTAATTACATTACTTCTAATTAAGAACCATTTCTAAATTCAATGGAATACTTCATGAACTGAATCTATTGTTATAAGCAACAACAAAACTTTAGTTTTAGCAATAATTATGAGGAACTTGTCAGAAGATTACCTTTAATATACAATGGATATTTGAAACTAGCCAGACACCCCTCATTTTGATATCATTCTGATGATGATGTTTTTGGCATATATATACTTTCTTCACTACATTTCATTCCTAAATAACTTCAGTCTTTCTATGAAATTCATATTCACACACAAATTGCATTAAAAAATCAACAATTATCTTTGATTATTATTAAAAACAACACATTAGTCAAGTAACGGAGAGTCAAACCAAGTGTTTGTAACAGTAAGATAGTCAAACCAAGTGTGGTAAAATTATACTGTTTGGTTTACATTCAACTCAGGATGGACCTTGTGTATCCACAAGCTTTCTTTAGTGCAGAGCGTCTTTTCATTGGCCACAATTCCCAAGATGTTGAAACCACTGGCAGTAATTCTAACATCACAAATTAAATTTAGAATTGTTTTCAAACAGATATTTAATATACAAATCTGTTTAAACAGTTTTTAAAATATTGTTCATAGGGTAGCAGTTTTTCAAAAAAGTTGTTTAAAATCACTTACACTTGTGTAATGTAACTTTTGTTAAATCCTTTAAGTTGGCTGTAAATAACAAATCGTTTAAATATCAGGAGAATGAAGTGACTCAAAGAGTCTAATAGTATGACACACTTCCCAAGATGCTGATATCATTCGCAGTAATTCTCATGCCAGTCTGTAAACAATGGTGAAGAATGGCTGACTGATTATATAGTGTATGTTGATAATGCTCTCTAATTCTTGAGCTCACATATTCATGGTTACACCTTGGACATGTAAATTTATAGATCATGTAAGAATGATGCATTTGAGGAATCCTGTATTTAGATTTTAAATAATCATATTCTACTAGCAATTACCCAAACCACATTTCCAAACATGTACCATTTTATGTCATACCCTACAAAGATGATAATGCATTTGCTTTGATATGCAAGGCTATCAGAAAATTGAAGCTAAACATTCTTTTAGTTGAAAAACCTGGAAGGAATTAAAAACTAATTGTTAACTCTGTTTTTCAACCTTAACACACAATTTAAAAAAAATGTAATGAAAGATATAAGGTACACAGTACATACACTGGAGAAACTGCCTATCTCTTACATGGAAGATTTTCAAAACATGTTCAAAACATTAAAAATGTCATGCAAAAAGAAGCCACATATAACCATTTTATAGAATCTTATGGATTATCTACAAGATATCTATTTAAAAAAAAAAATTTTAATGATTAAAATTATTAAAATGATTAAAATTTTAATTTTAATTCTATGTAGAAAATATAAACCTTTTCTGACTCTGGAGAAAAATCCTTAATGAATCCTAACAGAAGGTAATATTTTCCAACACTGAAAATATATTTCCGATAGATACCATTTCTCACCGTTACAGCTATTCTTGATTTGACTGCCCTTTAGTGGCAAATTTTTGATTGCCACTAGCTTTAAACTCCCACCTAATTCCACATATATACCATGTGGTTCAGCTGCATTTAAGCACACAAGTTAGCATGATACAACCCTCCACCAATAAGAGTATAACACACACCTCTATCACAGCTGAACCCAATCTTCACTTAGAGATTAGGCATGAAAAACAACAAATGAAATCGGAAGAACAAGTGGAAAGTAGGAGGAGAGGTATCTACTTTCATTGTTGGAAAATATTAGCTTCCGACACAATTACTTACCTCTTCTCACAGTTACAGCTATAATCCCACATTGAGCAGGTGGAGAAACTGGCGTAAAATAATCTAGATGAGCACCCTTCAAAAGTATTGAAGAGCACCCACGGAGTGTGTCACCTCCATGTATAGGAAACACACATATGGGAGACCACACAAAATCTAAACCAGGATACTCTTTGCCCAAGTAGAAACAACTGGTGTTGTGTCACAAAGAAAGGGCAGAACAAGTTATTCATCCCAAATCCAAGAGGACGAGAAAAAGTGTGTATAGTGGCTAGGGCATAACACACCATAATCGGGAGATCAACTAGAGTCCAGACCAGTGGCACTGGGAGATACTTGACTGGCCCCTGGTAGGAGGAACCAATAGGGAAAAGGAGCCACCATTCCAAGAAATGATGGAGTAATAAAATAAAAATAACTACTCAGAGTTGTACCAATATATACAGAATGGCTACAAGGGAAGACCATATCCGGCTGAGCAGGAAACCACCAGATGGTACAAGTTGTGTGAGACAAAGTTGTGAGGAGTGGTCCACATGTTGGCCTAAATAACCTCCTCCAAATGATGACAGAAATGATCAGCCAAGGACATTGTGAGGTTATAAGTCTGATGGGACAATACACAGAACAATTGGCAAGATTCAGGAAAAAGGGAGGAATACACAATACAGATAATCTAATGAATCTAACTGGTATGAATGATAGGAGACTATCATGGGAAATGGATTGATTCCAATAGATAAACACACAGAAGTGAGAGCCAAGGAAGTATGCTGTGCATGACATGTAATACATTAAAGCATAGACTGGACATAGGAAACAATACGGATCAGAACAGGAATGAATATAGAAGGAAGAGAAATAGGGGTGAAGGCAAAATTGCTGTCATGGGCAGCTGAAGTGTTGGGAAGGGAGGAAAAATCAATATATAGAAAGCATATGTCTTCAAGGAAAGGTTATAAGAGGAACATGAGGCTATAGGTTCAAAGGGAGGAAGGGAAAAGGCACGGTGAACAACAAAAATTCCAAACCAGCTACTTGAATGATATGAGAAGGCTGATGGAGATACCAGGACTTCCCTATAGCCCACAATGATTGAAACAGATAAGCAAATGCCTCCAGTTGGTTAGTAAACAAGTGAGAACATAGCTATCAGAATACCTGGAGATCAAAAGTCCATTCCATTGGTAGAATCTTGTTGAGATGGGACCAATAATACACATCAAGAATGAGGGCACCCGATATATGACAAGCCAGCAAACAAATTTGATGGCCGTGAGCCAGAAGAGGGAATCTAGAGTGTGAGAACATAAGGACCAGGATCAAGTGTCCCTAGTCTGGTGATGGAAGACGATTTATGTATTTGTACATTTTTATGAAGTATAAATGCTTCCATTTAACCTTTTCTTTTATCTAATTTCTTGGTATATTTTACATGTATTTATTCAAATATATTTTCCTGTAATGTCTCTTTCCCTTCATACACTGTATCTTGTTTCATCTTCTCAAGTTGTTTTACGTTGTAGTGCTCTTTTTTATAGTGTCATTTGCAAGGTAAATATGACATCAGTAGACATTTAAACCATTAAAAGAAAAAAGCACTGTACAATAAAGAAGGTTTTCTTCTGAATTTTGTAATCATAATATGTATACTTAATAATAAAAACATAATTTGTTTTCATCAGTGTAAATGATATGCAACTTAACATTAAAAACTTACCAGAACAAGAACATCTGGAGCTCTGAGAGACAACTCTGCTAGTGCAACACGAGCCTTTTGGCCTCCTGATAAGTCATGAATTTGTATAGTGTGAGCATAACTAACAAGCCCAAAGGTACCTAACTGTTTCCTGGCATCCTGGTAGTTCAAATTAAACAATCTCTGCAAAATAAATATCAGAACATCCATATATCATCAAAACAGAATTACATACAGCTGTAATTTTTATAATAAGTGTTTTTAATCTTCTATTTAGTCGTTTAGATACCATAATTGCAATTTTTTAAAATAACCTATTAAATTACTCAAATTTACAATATAAATGAGAAAATAGTTGTTTTTGAAGAAAACTGTGATTTCAGTGAATATTCTACTTACAATGTTTGATAATAAAATGATCAAGAATATTGCAAACTGTGTTATCACCTTGTACTTGTTGATTATACATTGTAATTATAAATTTTATCATTAATTTTTACATCACTTGTAATATACATTTTTTCTTTTCAAAACAGAAAATAAATAGCTTCCTTATTTCCTTATTTACCATTTAGTATGATAGTACTTAATAGTAGGGATCATGATAAACAAAGTGGCAGCCATAAAAGCTGTCCACTTAAGACCATTTTTTAAAATGTCTGAACATTAACAATGACTATTTCACAGTATAGGCTGAATAAATAAAGCTTGCGTGTGTTTAGGAAGTGAAATACAAATTTCAGCATTTCAACATATCTTCATTTAAGTAAGTAGGTGACTTTTTCAGACAAATGTACAGAAAAAATTATGAACCTTATTTCTTTAATTCTTTCACATAACTCTTCCGTCTGGGGTCCCAATAATTCCTTTCATGTACCGAAAAGGATAACAGTATAATTAGATTTGATGGTAGATTGATAGATCCTGATGAGTAATAAAATTGAATTGGATATATGCACACCCCACATTTGGTATTGCTGGTGCACAAAAATACAGGTAATAAAAATTTTATAAGGACAAGTAAGGATCAATATATATGTAACCTAGCTAGCTATAGTGATACAGAAAGTTTTAATGCTACAAAAAAAGTATTGAAACAAGAAAGGCAAAATTACCAAAACCAAGTTACATAAAATTTACAAAATTTTATCCCTACTTTGGCTCAAACTAATATAATTACAGTGATTTGCCAAAGTAGGAATACATATTTTAAAATGAAGCCTTGTTGAATGAGGGGAAACTTTGGTTATTTTATAAAAAATATTAAACCTTTCAAATATGGATTTTAAAACACAAATAATGCATAATTAAAACAGACATTTTTCCAGAATTTCTAGCATCAAAACTTTGAGAACTTATTTTCCATGACTTTCCAGAGTTTCAAGAACCTGTCCAAACTCTTCCTATTAGATTTATTACAAATTAATATGAGCATTAGTATTTACTCAGTTCCTGTTTATTATATTAAAATGTATCTATCAGTATCTATTAGTGAAATATATTGGGTTAATATTTTTGTACGAAATCCTCTTTCATAAGATTCAATATAGACTACCATACAGATTTTACATACTTATCCAGTAGTAAAGGTTAAGAAACCGTTGAGCTAAATCTTTCCATGTGATACTCTAATTATATTCACATAAAAGAAATAAGTCACAAGCCATAAACCTCTATGGAAGAAACTTGCATACCTGAAGATATTCCACAGGTGATTCTTCAAGATTTAGCTGTTCACCAGAATGCTGGTCAAATCTTCCTATACGCTGTAAAACAAGTCATTTAAACAGTACTTTAATCAACACCTAGATTAATATTTTAGATAGCAACCACTCTACAAATGTTTAATTTTTCACTTTTACACTAAACAAAAAGGAAGTAAATGAATTATGTGGAGAGGTTATATCGGACATTGCAAGAGGTTTAAAGTTTGACATATTAATTAGCTCTCTTCATAAATAAACATTGTTGGATGATTTTATCTACAAGATTAGAGAATAATTCCATTTAATATTGTCAAGCTTTTTATAAAAACATGCATGTATATACAGCAGCTTAAATATATACTATCACACAAGTTTCAAACAGGAACTATGAACCACTGATACTCTAGATTTAAAACAATAATAAAGGTAATTCCATGGTGACAAATCAAACCACCTTCTGGTTGAGCCGTATCTGGATAATAATTCTAATTATTTTGAAATAGTTTCTTAAAAAGCTGTTTGTGAAAAACAAGTTGATTCTTAATTTAAAAACAATCTGTCATCAGTTTACTATTTGACCAGACTACAAAACACTGTGAAATACTAACCAATCTATGATTCTTCCTTTGTTCACCAACTAGCTGTAAATGTTAAAATATGCATGTTACAGTTTGAATAGAAAGCACAATGATAGAAAATATAGAAAAGAAATGGAAATATTTCAAGGTCTACAAATATTTTGACTACATTACAAATATAGAGATCATCTTTCACTCTAGTCAGCTGGATTATGTAAATATTATTTCATGCTTAAATATAATATTACAGTTCATTTATTATCAAAAACAGATGACACAGAGTATTCATTTACCTTTAAACTAAAGTTCATGTTAACGATCATTTGCTACTTTCAGTAACTCAAGCATTTCTATACATTTTAAAATAAATAACCAAATATTAAATTCCAGTTAAACATGAACATGATTCTAGGTTGCCATTTTTAAATACTTTTGTATATAATCTAATAATGTTTTAGAAGTTATTGCAACCTAACATTTCCTGGATTGAAACTGCTAATTCCTGATACCTTGTGTATTAATAAGGTTTTTTTTTCTATACATAGGTCAAAAATGTATTAGTCAAGAAACGTTATTTATTTTGGCAAAATTTATATGCAATATCAAATTTGAAGTACCCTTAAACCTGTTTTAACAATAAAGGACTTTTTTAGATTTACAGATTTAGATCCAAAGTGTAAACTTTTACTTGGAAAATATGAAATCCACAACTAGAATTTTAACCACTATAATAAAATAACCAATACAAAACACGAGATAAATACATCTCACCATGTATCAAATACTTCAGTTAAACTGAATGATTTTGATTACAAGATTGAAACTAAGGATGAAATACAATTAAGTATTCCATAGTTTTGTGACTGTCAGCCATCACCCAATAAAATTTAACTTGCCTTCACTTCTTAAAAATCTTTGAGCTTTTTTAAATTTTTTTAATTTTAATTCATGCATTACTACATTATAAGGAAAATGCTAGCCAGAGAATACAATTTGATCTTATTCTGCACAAGCTACAAACTTACTGGTGTCAGGTCACCCATCAATAGTTTCAAAAAGGTACTTTTCCCAACTCCATTAGGACCAACAATAGCAACTAGAAAAATAAAAGAAGAAAGCTTGAATTAAATAAATTAATTCATTGAGGCAGCTGTCTGTTTTGTTTTAAATTTCAAATTGGAAGCAATTTATAAAACAAATCAAAAACAAATTATCAATACCTAAAAAGCATAAAAATTCCACCACTTAGTTTGTTTGAAAAAAATTATATTTACTTATATTATGTATACGTGTGTGTTGTCCACATTGCTGGTCCTTAGGACAGATGCAGCCCAGGTAAAAAATTAAGCTTGAAATACAGCTTATTTTTAGTTCTTTTGATTTTTAAAGTTAGTTGTTTAACGTTTGTTATCTCTTATTCTATTAGTCTTGCATTTAATAGTAATGCACTTAAAAAAAAACACAATACCTTTATTTAATAATAATAATTTTTCACTCCTCTGAGATCACATTCAAAATACCATTGACCCACCTCTAGTACAGAGTTGAAAAATTCTGACTTAAGTGTTCTAGTTTCCTTTTTAAGATACATTTCACAAGGAAGTAAAACTTAATGCAGATGATTTCTTTAAGAACCGGATGCCAGCCATAATTGACAGCAAAAGAAAATTGGATGGCCCATTCATGGTTGAAGTAAATTTGTGATTGTATACTTGTAAGTCTAAGGTTATTTGCAACATTGCATTTATTCTAGTGATAAAAATGTTGCTAATCTTGGAATATAGTTTGTTATTGTGTATGCCAAGATTAGTTTTTGTAGATGAACATTCTATAGGTTGAAGACTAATTATACAGAAATTTGAATGCAACAGTGATTATTAGCAAAAAGGTCCATTTTATTTGGATAAAAAAAAAAAAACAGTCATGGCCTCAAAACATAAAGGAAAGACAATATTTTATTTTGGCCTAATTTAAAATCACCACACAAATTTGTGCAAAGAAAACTTTGGCATTAGATCTATTACACTTGAGCTTTTTTTTATTGTTATTTTTTCCCTATAAAGTTTGACAAATCTCTTTAGAATGTTAAAAACTTTTGTTACAGAGGTGGATAATTTTGACAACTTTGCTTGATCTAATTTTGGGTGAAATTCAACATTAACTCCTAGGTGGGAGGAGTTGGTGACTTTCAAAGAATTAGTGCTTTGGCTTATTAGTATTATTCATTTCTCAATTCTGAATTTTGTAGAAAAATTCAGCATTTAAGATTTCTTGAAATGAAAAATTACATGCACTCTAAGCCAATATATTTGGATATAGAAGATGGGTTAAACTTTGAACAAAATGAAAGTTATACCTTGAGTTTGTAAATGAATATTTGCATTTAATCCTATTAGTGATGGTGTGCACCATTCTGGATTGAGATGGCATGGAGGGCAAGACTATATAGCAAATTGCACAATTTCAGTAATTAACAACAGTACGTTTAACTCTATTTCAACAATTCTTTTACTCAAAAATATTTAAGAGTTATATTTTGTAATTTTGCAACATTTATTTATTTTAAGTTGTAAAGAAACATTCAAAAGATGTTTGAGCATTGATCTCTATGCAGTTCTAATTGGTATCGCTTGTAAACAAGGCCAATGCACACTTTTTTAGAATTTCTTTGTCCATCCCAAAGTATAGGTTTATGTTTACCCATTCTCTTACATTCCATAGAAAAACCCTTACCAAGGTTTTGTTTTTCATTTGACTATCCTTTCACTGATCTGTTTTCAAAAAACACTGTATTGAGAAACTTTTATGGATTGGACAGTAACTGATAATCTTAGTATTACACACAGATAGAACTATAAATAGGATTGGATGTAAAAGATTCTTGTCTATCTCCATCATTGTAAAGTAAATAACACTTAGGTAAGCAGAATTCTATGATTTCTGAAAAGGTGACTAACTAGCAGAAGCACTCATAGTGGAGAATAAATGACCCTAATGGCAAGCTTACAGAAATAAAGAACAAGTTCTAGCCAAGGATCTTTTTTTACAAATTCTTTTGACAATGTTTTTGTTTGTGATAATATGTTTTTTTTTATTAGGTATGATTTAAAAGTACAGGAGAAAATACACAGATAAAGCTATTTAGGGTTAGTGAATATGATAAGCTAGGACTTCTCTGATGGCAAGTGGTCAGATGACAGAAAAGCTTATGTGCATTAATAAATATATTACTCTTCAAAGAACACGAAAAATGTACCAGAAGTCCTTAATTATTGAAGACAAATTATAATTATATGAGAGAAATTTAGCTAAGTCAAAAATATAGTTGGAAAAATAATGCCTATATTAACTTAGGCCTAGTATAAAAGAACAAGTTACAATTCTATCAGTCAACACTTTTACCATTCATCAGTCTTTTATGCTATTTTCACAAATACCTAACTCTTTCAGTATGCAAAAATACACAAATTTAAATAACTGATGAAAATAAAACAAGTTAGACCTAACTGGTTATATAAAATGGAACTTTCTGTCCATAATATCTAAAAAACTCCACTATTATTTCTTTCTTTAGTATCTTTTAGTAGTTACTTTCTTTGTATGTAAGAGCTTGTAGGAAAAGAAATGAATTATAACTTTATTGAAAAAATAGCTATTCAATACATTTAAACATTTTTAGTCAGATGATAAAAAAAAGTTTTAAGACAAAAGGAAATTATTTTAAGATTTTTAAAAAGAGCATTTCAAAACAAAACTTTTGAACACTCCCTACCTAAAATATGACATAAGTACTAATCGAAATTTCAAGTATAAACTAAAAACATTAAGTAAAACGTGTGTACTAAATTTCATGCAATTAGGTTAGGCATCTTTAATAGGAAAACAAAACACAGAAGTGATACAACATCACTCAGCCAACCTAGATAGGATTGAGCTTATGTATTTATTTGCTTATTATCAGAGTAGCAGTTGTTTAGAAATTTGTTGCAACCAACATTTTCTTACTTTAACTTTTTATACCTAGAGAATAGCAATAATTTAAAAAAATTCCTTGAAATATTTATGTTTGTATTTTTTGCTACAGAGAATCAAGTAATGTAATGAGCACATGAAACAGGGGAATTTTTAGATTAAAAAGCAATATATATATATAAGCACAATTACATTATTGGAGTTTGTTGAGTTGTTCAGTGATTGCTATCACTAATTTTAGGCCTACTGGTTTCTGATGCTTTGCCAGTTTTCAGTACTTAATCCATAACCATTCAGTTTCAGACAGTGTTAGTTTCTAACTGAGTTAAGTCTAGTAACATTAAAATTGGATAAAATGATACTCGTCAAAAATAAACAACTGCAGGTGGAAAACCCTACATTTATTTTGAAATGATGACAGCATTTTGGGTCAAGGCCCTTTATCAGGCCTAAATGTCATTATAAAAACTAAATAAGAAACAAGTTTGAGTGACAATAACAGAATAAAGATATGGAATACATTACACATCAAAATCCACCAGCATTAAAACACTGGTAATACATTACTATCCAGGCAAATGATACACAATAAATAATTAAAACAAAATAGATGCGAGTGAATGAAAAAAAAGAAGTTCAAAATTAAAAAAAAAAGCAGAGAGAGAGAGCATATGGGTATGAAATGTTCATAATAAATTACTAGAAAAAGTACCATTCCAAATAGATACTAAAACAAAATTTTTCATTTAACCCTGATAGGGAAAGAGTTTCTAGCATACTAATAAAGCACGTTCAACTTCTGTATTCATGAACTCTTTCAGTAACATTTCAACCTGTCTCACAAATAAATAAAAAACTGCAAAAGCCAAAAATTATGCAATAGAAAACAGATTAAGATAGAAGTGTCAAAGACTTTTTAATCTGAAAATGTTTTCCATCTATTGTTGTTTATTTGTAGTGGTTATAATCTTTAAGAGATAAATTCATAACTGTGAAGCACGAGCAAATGAATGCTTAGAATTTTTGACGGTGAAGAATTAATGTTAGCTTAGACTACATTACAATGATATTTCATAATACAGTAGAACACTTCAGGGTTGGCTATTTGCTTAATAATAATAATAATAATAAAACAAAAGGCAAGTTCCTGTTTATCTATTTATCAGTACACAATAAAAAATGTTTCTTCTTAGCATCTTTTCTTTAAATTACTATATCAATAAGAACCAGACAAGGATACATCTATGTCTCCTGTTGTTTATTAGTCAACTCTATCACCCTGGGTATCCTTTACTGCACACAACACAAGGTTTTAGTGTCCTGCACTCAAAATTTTATAAAACTACATTTTATTTATGTTAGACCAATTATAATAGTATAAACTCTTAGCTAATAATCCATATTTTAACAGTATACAAGTTTTAAGTTCTTAATTCAATAAGACAATATTTAAAAAAAATCCTGAATTTCCACTAGTGTGACCCATGTGACACATTTTCTCTTAGCATGTCATCATCCCTATTTTATCCACCACTTCTCTAAAAAGTACGAAATTAAACGTAATTTGCTCTCTATAAAATTGTTTTTGCTCAGACAAACAATACTTTTTCATAGTCTTCAATTTTGTTTGGTTACAGAGCTAACAAATAGATAATCAGACCCACCTGTCACATCTTCTCTTTCACACTTCGTTGATAGTTCTCTCTTATGTTTCATTATATATATTACCTATAATCAATACAAAGTCAAGGTTCTCATTTATCAAATGAGATACTGTATAAAGTTGTGTTCTGTATAGAATATCGTGAATTTTACTCACAGTACAAGATTTGTTCCCATGGGAAAGTTAATGACAAGCTTGGATGAATTTGTAACAGCTCTTGTCACATAGTTAGAAAGCTAGAAACATTTTAAGAAGTAAGGGAATTTGTCTACTTTTTGCATGTTATTAGTCTATATTCTATGGTGCATAATTTAATGAAATAAAATCATTAAGTGTATTACTAAAATTAGTATAAAGAATTAGGCTTAACTGTCCTCGACAATTGAAAGCAAGAAAAAGAAGATTGGGTAATTACTTTATTTTTTGTTTTTATTTAATCTTTAATTATTATTATAAAAGTAATTAAAATCTAAAAATATGGATATTTTTACGTTATTTAAGGTTAGATTAGGTAAAATAAGAAATAAAAATATGATTAAAATGGTTCATGAGGCACGTACATGAGCAGCATGTTCACTGAGTGATTTACAATTTATAATGGCACATATAGGAGTTAGACATAGTTCAAATGGTAATAAAACAATAAAATTTAATTATAAATAGATGTATACTTTTATGAACTTAGAGCTACTTAGGATAAACGAAT